GCAGTCCCTGAATGCAGGGCTGGCTGGCTCTGTGGGAAAGCAGGGGATAATAATCCTGCAGCCAGCTTGGTGTCGACACCGTTCTTGCCACTACAATCTCCACTCCTGTCTCTCCCTGGCAGCAAGAAACAGGCCCCAGGGCCTTTGAAACCTTTAAGATATTAATTAAACAGAGACTTATAAACGACAGTTACAAAATGTTTCAATACATCTATCTGATCAAGAAATGTTTAAAGAGCCAAGCATGACTCTGAACAGAGAGAAACAGATGTATAGGAGGACAGTGATCTGGCTAATATTTTGTCTTACAAGTCGTACCAGTTCTTAACTGTGACAAAACTCTCCTATGGTTAGACACTCATGAGGTTTTCATTCATTTTCACTATAAAAAAAAAACCAAAAACCAAAAAACATGTGCACGGAGACCTCGGATGGATAGAACCTGGTCTTATGCTTCTGCATATTTGTGGCAATTTAATTTTCTTCTTTTTCCTTTTCCATTGTAGGCTTAATTGTCATAATAAATCATTTGCTTTATCTCATTCCACTTTATTGTCTGACTGAAAAAAATAACCTTTGAATTAGGAAAATGTAATTCAGTAAAAAGAGGAATAGTATTTTCTGAGATTTAAGTTAATGCTGCGACTTAGCCACTAGGCTATGCTAAAGGATAGTCCATTTGTCCTAGAACACTTCTGTCTTCCAGCTACCCAGAAAAAGCAGGAAAACAACCGCAAAAAAAATGGATATGAATTATTTAACCATTCAAAACCTACCTGGTAATTCACTTAACAGATTTATATGAGTTTATATAATTAGTTTATAGGATATATTCCAAAAGAATAAATGAGCCCTTTTTAAACAATCAAATATATGTCATGTGGTTTGGTTTTAAAAGAATGAAATCATCTTTATTTTATCCAAATTAAATGTAATTTCATTTGCATACAGTTATTCCTACTTAAAAAAAAAACTATAATGTATAGTCACGGACTCATTAGTTATCAGAAAAATGAGCTTTAGAACAGATATATTTTTCTACTTAAAAAAAAGATTATTTAAAAATGCAACAGTTGAGAACCAAACACATTTATTTTAGGTCTTTTTCTTTTAAGTTTGTTTATTTTTGAGACAGAGAGCATGAGCAAGTTAAGGGCAGGGAGAGAGACAGAGACAGAGGATCTGAAACAGGTTCTGCACTGAGAGTGGAGAGTCAGATGTGGGGCTCGAATTCACGAATGGGGAGATCATGACCTGAGCTGAAGTTGGGTGCTTAACCAACTGAGCTGCCCAGGTGCCCGTTAGGTATTTTTCATTTTAAATTATACTCTGTTCTATGTAACGTGAGTTTAGAACTCTTTACTTTTCTTTTTTTTAAAAATTTTTTTTTTTCAACGTTTATTTTTTTTGGGACAGAGAGAGACAGAGCATGAACGGGGGAGGGGCAGAGAGAGAGGGAGACACAGAATCGGAAACAGGCTCCAGGCTCTGAGCCATCAGCCCAGAGCCCGACGCGGGGCTCGAACTCACGGACCGCGAGATCGTGACCTGGCTGAAGTCGGACGCTTAACCGACTGCGCCACCCAGGCGCCCCTAGAACTCTTTACTTTTCAACTTAGGAATGCAACCTACTGTAAATTTTTTCCTTAAAACTCTAAGGAGCACAATATTATTTTCATCATCATCATTATATTAATATCTGTCCTTGACTGCACATTGTGGGAGGCAGTGGATTCAAATGGGTCTAAGAAACTCACAGTGCAGTTGGGGCCACAAAAAATATAAAAAACATTGATAAAATATTTAGGGACCATACAGGTGCTCTACACATGTGATGAATATTCATCTATTTATATGTTCCAATAGTTCATATAAGAGATACCCGTATTATTTTTAAAAGCCAATAGGTTTTTATAACCAACAACCCAGAGTATTTCAAAGTCTAGTTCTCAAAAGTGCTCTGAAGATAAAAACCCATAACCCTCCCAATTTATTGTTTAATCCACTTGACAACTCTCTGTAAGAGAGGTTTGCTATATTTTAAAGATAAATTAATCTTTTTTTAACTTGACTTGTTTCTTTTTCAATTATTCATTATTCATGTGTTAATTATTCATTATGGGATGAACTATTGACAGAACACACTCCAGCCTCAAAGCAAAATGCTATTAATCTACTACTCATATCCTATTATTGCTTTGGCATATGATAGAGTACTTGGAAGAAAAAGGTTAGTGGACTTTCTCTTCTTAAATGTAATTAAGTTCAGTAAAATCCATTTATGAAACACTGCAGAAAAAGATGAATACAATTATAATATAGGTCAAATCATGTTTGCCCACATACACAGGGGTGATAGTCAAAATATTTGTGTGTCTCCACAGGCACTGAGGAACCCAATCAGGCACTTGTAATAAACACCTGTGCCTGCCCATGGGGATCACCTATTATAGCAGTGTTGAAAACTTTTAATTCTGATTGATCATTATTATGTCCAATACTGGTATTAGTTTTTAAGGAATTATTATGAAATATGTTGTCTTTAATTATGCTGAATAACATACCAACTAGGAGAACAGCATCACAGATATTTTCAGTTCTAGATTTCCTTCCTTTTACATACTATCAACTGCAGAGACCCCCGAATATCTAGTAATGTCTGTCACGATCATTTTAGATAATAATTGATGTGGATGGATCTAAAGCATTCCTCATCTGAATCCAAGGCGAGTTCTTGGGCTTTATGTATTAAATTGACAGACTAAGATATATTCTCTTTAGTGATGCCTTTCACCAGCAGTCTTGAACACAAGTCAACTCCAGACACATCCTGGGCGGCGGGGGGTCCTGATTTAGTCAAGGGCTCAGAGATAGGATATAAACCAGTTCTTCTCAAGGGCAAAGGAGTGATTAAAAAAAAAAAAAAGGAAAAAAAAAAACAACAAAATCAAGTCTTGGAAGGGGGCTGGATTGTCTCACCTGCCCTGGAGCATTCTAAGGGAAGAAATTGCCAAAGAAGAGAGCAGGGCTTTCTTTCCACACAAGTGAAAGGCTGCAGAATTTGCCATGTGCCTAACCTCATGTTTAATCTTGGTTCTTTGGACAATTTTAAGGCTCCAGGGGTATTCACCATGGTGCTGTACATTTGCAAATTAAGGACTCTGTTGGAATTATAATACATAGGTTCCAATTTCTTATGGTGCCATTCATCAAAAGAGACTGATGTAAAAACAGAAGAAATATTATGTCCAAATCTAGGCTCTACTAATCTCTAAGCACTTTATGGCAGCAGTATTCTAACTCTCTTGTCTCAACGCGCTCTATGCTAACTGTGCCCAACTTGTCTTCATTGGCTAACAGCCCTTCCAGAACTCTTGGCCATGAATATGCTAGGTCATGTGACTGGGATGCTCTTCCTCCTCATTGCCCACCTGAATTCACACTTCCAAGTTTTATCTTGAAAGTCAGGTGTCTTGTGGGATTTTCATGACTAACATCACTATTACAGCTACTTGTATATAAGTCTGAATCCCTGACTAGCCACTTTCCTTAGGCCTGAGATGGTACCTCACTGAGGTTTGCTCTGGGTGGAACAGAGCAAGTGCTCAATACATGCCTGCTAAATAAATCAATGGTGACCAGGGAGATGAATGAATGAGAAGAACTCTAAATATTAAATCCCAAGAATTCCATCTGCATTATGAGCTGAGTCATAGTTAGACTTTGGTTTGCAACACTACACTGAGATGCCACAATGTGAGCTACCCAACTTACGGTTTCCTTTCAAAGAGCCCACCCTCTGAGCTGTTTCTCCCATCAGGGAGACTCATTCTGACACTGCATACACTACCCATCCAAACTAAGGAGGCAATGTAGTCCTTAGCCCCGTGTTAGTCATCCAAAGAATCCTTATTTTGTTGACTCATCAGTGAACTCCACTACAGTGTTGGTGATTTGGCTCTAAAGCCAGACGATGACACCTCTCTGTATAGGAATGTACTTTCTTAGACTCATGTTGGCTGCTAATCTCAAAGGGAGCCACTTTAGCGACTGTTTCTCTCCTTTGTGAAGAAAAAGATCACATGCTTTCCTAATAGCTAACAACTCTGTGCTGTGATTTGACTGTAGCGAGCCCTACAGTGTTAATCTGAGAAAGACCGAGGTTTTTAAAAAACTCATTGTGTTCAAGAGTTCAGACTTATTACCTCACCAACTACAAGGGAAAAGGAACCCTGGAAGAGAGGACGACGGACTGTGACCCATGGTGGTCCGCAGGAGACAGGTCCTGCCCTCTGGCTTACTCTCCAGCATTGATTTAGTTTTTCACTCACATATTGGATGAACACTCATATCCCTCCCTGACAAACCTTTCACAGTGTCCTGGGTTATATGTGAACAACAGCTTTAATATATTTTAGGGGCGCCTGGGTGGCGCAGTCGGTTAAGCGTCCGACTTCAGCCAGGTCACGATCTCGCGGTCCGTGAGTTCGAGCCCCGCATCAGGCTCTGGGCTGATGGCTCAGAGCCTGGAGCCTGTTTCCGATTCTGTGTCTCCCTCTCTCTCTGCCCCTCCCCCGTTCATGCTCTGTCTCTCTCTGTCCCAAAAATAAATAAACGTTGAAAAAAAAATTTAATATATTTTATGTAAGTTTAGCTGTTGGAGAGCTGAATACTATGCTTGTTTTGACTATTATATTTTGAAGAGTAGTTCTTGGAAGTTATCTCCATCCATCACTGCTCCTCATTGACATGAGTGATACAGAATACCAGTGCAATCAATTATTAATATTATGTTAGCATGCACACAGTTATAATAACTAAATACACATACATTTAGCTGTAAACGTGTCTAGGAGTGTAAAAAATTAAGTTAACCTGTAAATGTCATTTTGGGGGGGAATTTTCATGATATACCTGTTCTGTCAGTAAACTGGCAAAAGTGATACATTGAAACGAGATCCAATAATTCAGGAGAAAAGCATCTTCAAGTACACACTCACCCACTATGTTTCATATGTGGTGGTTTATCCATTCGCACTGCTAATTTGATCTTTAAGTCAGAGTCCTGGCTATTTTTTGGAACTACCATTCGGTGCAACTCAGCTGACTTGGAGCTATTAGAAGTTGGGTATAATATCACCTATAAAAGACAAAAAAGAACACATTTAAGTGCATAATACAAGCTCCAAGGATTGAAACAGAAATCTTGTTTTCCTGTTTAAAAAGAAGGTATCATGCCCAAATGTGTCTAAACCACTTGACTCCCACCACAACAGATGGGTTTTCAATACAGCCTCATTTATCTTTTTGACAAATATGTGTTTTCATATTATCACATAACGAGTTTTCTTCCTGTGTCATTTCCTAATGAGGTAATAGCACAAAGGCTGCAGTTGAATTGACAGCTGAGAAATACTTATTAGACACCTATAATTTCAAGACTATTCTAAACTCAGGGCATGGAAGTTCAGAAGGAAATATTTTTTGAAATTACAGATAGCATGTTTAAAAAGTAAAACCAATTATTCTAGGCAGCAAAAATATACCTAATGTTTTAATATTTGCATTGTAAGACAGCATGAAAGGAAGTCAACACAATTAGAGATGGAAAAGACCGATTTCATAGCACATTTTCTGTCCTAGATCAACACCAGAGGACTTTTTCCTGATGTTTTCGTATCTATAAATACTATAAGGACTGACACAAAATAATTAAATTTTTAAATTTTTATTTATTTATTTTGAGAGAGAGAGAGAGAGAGAGACAGAGAGAGAGAGAGGGAAGGAGGGGAAGGAGGGGAAGGAGACCCTGGCACGTGCAAGCTGGGAAGGGAGAGAGAGGAGAGGAGAGGAGAGGGGAGGGGAGGATTCCAAGCAGGGTCTGTGCTGTCATTGCAGAGCCTGATGTGGCGCTCGATGCCACGAACCATGAGATCATGACAAGAGCTGAAATTAAGAGCCACATGCTTAACTGACGGAACCACCCAGGCGCCCTCACAAAGTAATTATTTTTAATAAAATTTCCAAGTGATTATTTTCTAATACCACAGCTTCACAGAGCTGACACAGGAGAGACAAGCTTACTCTTCATATCTTACATGCCGTATACAACCACACTTCATTTTATTGCATTTCATTTTATTGTGCTTCGCAGATACTGCGTTTTACAAATGGAAGGTCTATGGCAATCCTGTGCCGAGTTGGTCTGCTGGTGCCCTTTTTCCAATAGCATTCACTCACGTCACGTCTCTGTCAAGTTTCAGTAATTCTCATAATATTTTAAACTTTTACGTTGTATTTGTCAGTGACCTGTGATCAGCGAAGAACTGTGACGTTACTAATTTGATTGTTTGGGGCATCACAAACCACATCCACATAAGACAATGAACTTAACTGATAAATTTGTGTTTTTCTGAATGCTTTACCAACTGGTTATTCCACTGTATCTCACCCTCCCCTTGGGCCTTCCTATTCCTGGAGACACAACAATACTGAAATCAAGATAATAACCCTACAGTAGTTTCTAAATATGAAAGAAGGAGTCACACATCTCTCACTTTATTTACCTCTTTAAATTTTTATTTATTTTGAAAGTGAGAGAGAGAGAGAGAGAGAGAACGCGAGTGTGCACACCTGTGCAAGTGGCAGAGGGACAGAGAGGGAAAGGAGGAGAGAGAATCCTAGTCTGCACTGATAGCACAGAGCCCAATGTGGGGCTCGACCTCAAAAACCATGAGATCATGACCTGAACCATGAGATCATATCAAGAGTTGGATGCTCAACCGACTGAGCCACCCAGGTGCTCCACATGTCTCTCACTTTACATCAAAAGCTAGAAATCATTCAGTTTAGTGAGGACGGCATGACATAAGCCAAGAGAGGCTGAGGGCTCAGTCTCTTGGGCCCAACAGCCAAGCTGTCAGCAGAAAAGTTTTTGAGGGAAATTAAAACTGTACTCCAGTGAATACACAAATGATGATAAAGCAAAACACCCTTATTGCTGATATGGAGAAAGTTTTCACGATCTGGATAGAAGATCCAAGTTGCCACAACATTTCCTTAAGCCAAAGCTTAATCCAGGGCAAGGCCCTCTCTTCAATTCTAAGCAGGCTGAGAAAGGTGAGGAAGTTGCAGAAATGTAAAGCTAGCAGAGGTTGGTTCACGAGCTTTAAGGGAAGAAGCCATTTCTATAACATAAAGGTGCAAAGTAAAGCAGCTCGTGCTGATGTAGAAGCTGCAAGTTATCCAGAAGATCTAGCTAATAAAAGTGGCTACACTACACAACAGATTTTCAACGTCCAGGAAGGTGTCGTCTTAGACTTTCATAGAGAGGAGAAGCCAATTGCTGGGTTCAAAGCACCAAAGGGACAGGCTGGCTCTCTAGTTAGGGGCTAATGCAGCTGGTAACTTTAAATTGAAGCCAAAGCTCATGTACCATTCCAAAAATCCCAGGGCTGTTAAGAATTACACTAAATCTACTCTGCTTGAGCTCTGTAAATGGAATAACAAAGCCTTGATAACAGCACATCTGTGTACACCATGGTTTTGTGGCTATTTTAAGAGGACTGCTGAGAACTACTGCTCAGGAAAAAACATTCTTTCAAACTATTACTTCTTAATGACAATGCACCTGGTCACCCAAGAGCTCTTCTGGAGATAGACAATGAGATTAATGCTATTTCCACACTGGCTAACACAACATTCATTCTGTAGCCCAAGAGTCTAGGAGTGATTTTCACTCTGAAGTCTGATTTAAGAAATATTTTTTAAGGCTAAAGCTGCTCTAAATAACGATTACTTTGACAAATCTAGGCAAGGTAAATGGACAACCTTCTGAAAAGAAGTCACCATTTTTTTAAAGTTATTTATTTTGGGGGGGGGGGGGAGAACATGCACAAACAGGGGAAGGGCATAGAGAGAATCCCAAGCATGTTCCTCACTGTCAGTACAGAGTCCAACACGGGCCTCAATCCCACAACCCTGAAGACCTGAGCTGAAATCAAGAGTCAGATGCTTAACTGACTGAGCCACCCAGATGCCCCGGAGTCACCATTTTAGATGCCATTAAGGACATCTACGATTCACATGAAGAGGTCAAGGTAACAGTAGGAGTTTGGAAGAAGTTGATTGCAATTCTCCTGGATGATTCTGGAGAGTTTTAAGAGTTCAGTGGAGGAAGTGACTGCAGATGTGGTGTAAACAGCAAGAGAGCCAGAAGTGGAACCTGAAAATGTGACTAATTATTCCTTGAGACACAACAATATTGAAATTATGCCAATTACCCAGCAATGGCCTGTAAGTTTTTAAGCGAAATAAATCACAGTACAAATGGCTATCATCTCATCACACTTTAATAGGTAAGGAGGTACCTTTTATAGACGACTAAAGAAAGTGATTTCCTGACATGGAATCTATTCCTAATGAAGATGCTGTGAAGATTGTTGAATTGAAAATAAAGGATTTAGCATATTATCTAGACTTCATTGATAAAGCAATGGCAGAGTTCAAGAAGATTGACTAATTCTGAAAGAAATTCTGTGTGTAAAATGCTATCAAACAGCATCGCATGCTAGAGAAATTGTTCATGAAAGGAAAAGTCAACTGACATGGCAAACTTCATGTATCTTAAGAAATTACCAGGGTCACCCCACCCTGATCATTCAGAAATCATCAACATCAAGGCAGGATCCTTCACCAGAAAAAAGATTACAATTTGCTGAAAGCTCAGATGATGGTTAGCATTTTCAGTAGTAAGTGTTTTTTAATTAAGGTATATACTCTTTAAGTTTATGAGAGAGAGAGAGAGAGAGAGAGAGAGAGAGAGAGAGAGACACCTAGTGGAGGAGGGGCAGAGAGAGGGGGAGAGAGAATCCTAAGCAGGCTCCGTACTGTCAGCACAGAGCCCAACGCAGAGCTTGAACTCACAAACCGTGAGGATATGACCTGAGCTGAAGTTAAGAATCAGATGCTTAACAGACTGAGCCACCCAGGCACCCAAAGATATGTACTTTTTAAAGACACTGTTATTGCACTTATAATATATTACAGTATATTATAAATGTAACTTTCACATGCACTGAGAAAACAAAAAATTCAATTGACTCACTTTATGATATTCATTTTATTGCAGAACTCTGGAACCAAGTTCACAGTATCTCTGAGGCATGTCTGTATGTAAAATGATGTATTTCCCCCTTGTTAGTCAGAATATTATTTAGACACAGCTTATATCAAGGCCTTGATATTTTTAAATGGGAAGCCTATATCCTGAAGGATAAAGATATGAAATGTAGTGTAGGTGAGCCTGGGTGGCTAAGTCGGCTGGAGCGTCTGACTCTTGATTTTGGGTCATGGGATCGAGCCCCACACGTCAGGCTCCTGGCTGAGTGTGGAGCCTGCTTAAAAATCTCTGTCTCCCTTTATCCCTCTCCCCTGCTTGCACACGTGCTTTAAAACTTAAAAAAATGAAATGCAGTATATTATACTTTAAGCCATTCTTATTTTATACCAATGTGAGAAGTAAACAAACCTGAAGTTTCTATGTAAATGAAAGAATTATAAACATGCTCATGTGTTTAAAAGCAAAACATGGCAACTAAATTTGGCATGCTCTGGCAAAAAAAAGAAAAAAAAAGTCTTCATTTCTGTGGATAAGTGGAACTATTCACACAGAAATTTTCAAGCAAAGCTCTTTTTCTAAGAAAGACAACAGTCATAAAAGCTTCTTAAACTATTCTCAACTCCCAAGTTGTTAAATGTATCTACTATTTTGAGACTTTGCTCAAAGCCTATCCTAAAAGCCACAGTTGAGTTGAATCCAGCATATCTATACACTTGAGCATATAAAGGCACATCCAGGAACAGAGAAAATGGCATTTGTGATATCTTCAAAAACTGTATTATAGAATTAGTCCTCTGTGACTGCTAAAGTATCCAATGGAATATTTTACAGATTCTTTCTTAAATGAGTTTTAAAAAAAGTGATGAGGGGCGCCTGGGTGGCGCAGTCGGTTAAGCGTCCGACTTCAGCCAGGTCACGATCTCGCGGTCCGTGAGTTCGAGCCCCGCGTCAGGCTCTGGGCTGATGGCTCAGAGCCTGGAGCCTGTTTCGGATTCTGTGTCTCCCTCTCTCTCTGCCCC